CTTATTTCTCCTTTTTTTTTTTTTTTTTAAGATTAAAAAAGTCACTAGGCAATTACACTCACAGAAAGCTTTGGGAAAATAAAATATAAACAATAGATTTTCCCAAAGCTTTCTGTGAGTGTAATTGTCTAGTGACTTTTTTAATCTTAAAATAAAAATTCTGTTATGAAGCCATTGCTGCATAGGAATGTGAGCTCACATGTAAAGCAGTAAAATATAGAAAGTCCTAGTAAATTTTAATTTTTTTCTACTGACTTACACCTCTTACATTTACATTTTTCTACAACAGTTGACATGTAGCACTGTACAGAGCCAGCCAAACCCACAACAGAACCAACATTTACAATTCAGTTGTTTAGGAAAAGTTCATGATTTCCATAGGCTCACACCCCTCTCTGAACGAGCCTTTCCTTGCCTGTGTGGGTTCAGAAACAACAGATAAATCTGGAGAACTGAGACCAATCAAAAGCTTTAAATGCTGCTACTAAAGGTAGCTACAGTGTGCCCCAAAGTGCTATGAAAATCTTTCAAGAGCAGCTACTTATATATTTCATATCATTTTAACACCTATTTGTAGTGTGGAAGGGTTACAGTCAGTGTTTTGGCCAAGAAGTTTCTTCAGAAGAAAACTACAACAAGGACTCTATTATCCAAAACCAAACAGGGTGATACTCTGTTTTAATTTCCCCATACTAACTGACTGGCAAAAAATACAACTCAATGCAAGAAAACACAAAACAAAACCATCCCCAAAGCCAAACCACCCTAGCTCGGAGCAACTCCATTTCCATTAATCAGAGAATAAAATCTATCTTCTATAAAACCTGTTCCTGAGTGAAAGCAAGCCTGACTTAAAATCAGTTGTTTCCCTGTTACCCAGAAGGTGTCTGCCACTGGTGTAAGGCAGTGTATGCCCTGTGTATCCATTCACAACCTGCCCAGCTAAACCTAAGTTTGTAATTCAGTTTTGTGCAGCTTGTTCCTAAAGATCTTGTAATTACATCCCTGTTTGGATGACTACAAGGTTATTAATGTCCAGCAATGAAGATGAAAGTAGACAATTTATTACGATTTGGCACTGAACGTCAATCAATTCAACCAAAAAGAATCTATTTTTAAAAAAATATATAAAAAAAGGAATAATATCACGGCTTAGCATGCTTCCTGCTGATCCGAAAAGTCTGTCTGATTATATCGAGTCAGTCAGCAAGGTGGATTTAAAACAGTGTATTGGAACTCCACCAGCATTATGAGATCCCAGTGCCAGCCAATAATTGTGAGACAAAGCCAAGCTAACAGAGGATGCCCCAAAGTATCTTTTAAATCCATATTGGATTAGGTGGGACTGTACTGCAGAAAACACGTTACACATCGCTGGAGCCACTCAAGGATCAGACACAGGGGCTCTGTGAGGTTACAGACACAACCAGGACACGGAGCTGGTCCAGTGTGTGCTTGGAACTCTGATTCACCAGTCATTTCATAGCCCACCTCTTACATAACTCAGAGCTCACTGTACAGGAGCTTCTCGTGCAGCAAGAGATGAGAAAGATGAGTCACCACCAGCTGGCATTGAAGGCTCTGGGCTGGGACACCTCCGGTCACAAAGTATGGACCGGTTCTACATGTATTTATTATCAGCAAAACAAGCCTTTCTCTTGTTGCACAGTAAGAATTATATAAGACTGTTCTTCCTGGTAAAGGTCTTGTGAAATTTTAAGTAATGTAGAGTTTAAAAAAAAAAAAAAAAAAAAGCCTGGAAAAAACCTTGCCATTTCCATTAAATATTGACCTTCTGAAAGAGCAAGTTGGGAATAAAACATCTCTTATCTTAATCAGTTTGGTGGAAATTAATTTAATTTATATTTTAAGGTTGTATTTACTGTTACAGATCCAGGGCAAGGGAGGTCAAACTTTTTAGAACTATCCATTTATATAAAACATTATTGTTTAAAGAAGAGTCCAATATTTTTTTAGTCTTATTTTTAAGCATGGACTTCAGTGGTGCTGCTCCTAAGTGCATCTTTTGCCAAAAACATTAAGGATTGAGGGATTAAATTCATGGTAAACTGCAAACAAACACAAAACAGCTTTTCAAACATTGGTATATTGACTTGAGTGGTCTAATAGAGGCTTGAGCTTTGTCTCCATCTAATTTGACCTTCAGTTTAGTTTGACCTCTCAGGCAAGAAAGTCTAGACATTGACCTTGATTGAACTGAACATTTTCCCTTTTCTCTGTTGTTCTAAATAATTTTAAGCACACAATCACTAATGCAGATAACACCATTACTTACTCTAACAGTAAAACTGTTCACAGGACATTTTCTTTGACTGCAGAAACAAAAATGTCAGTATTTGACAGGAATATACCAAAGCCATGTCCACAGTATATGACAAGTTGATATATATATTGCTGTTTTCACCAGAAATAAAATTGGTCTTTAAAAAGGCAAAGAAATGTAACAGCCTCCTCAAATCAATATTAACCACTGCTAATCTCTGTGACCTAACAAGAGAAAGCACCTCCTCTATTTTCTTATGCAGCCTTGACTTTTAGTGTGAAATATTAAAAATGAAAATACAGTTCAATGTAATTACAGGAAACATCACTAATGATGTTCACATGTTAATTTTCCTCATGCTACCCAAGCGGTTGAAATCTAATGACACAGGAAGACCATTATTTTATTTTTTCCATTAACCCTATAAAAAGTAAGCACGTAGAGAACTAAAATTTTAGTGTTTTCTATAAGCACTGTCTTAGCAGGAAATGTTTTTAAAAAGCAGAATGAAAATTCAAACATTATCTGGATGGAAACTTTTTTTTTTTTTTTTTTTTTGAAGCATGCTATAAGCCTGTTAAGAGTTGGATTAAAAAATGCTTCTTCGAGTTCTCACGTTGCCAGGACACTAAGAAATCACAGCTCAAAAAGTTTTCCTCTCAAAATGAATTAAAGCTCAGCTCTCACAGCTGGCTTTTTTAATACCACACAATCTATGTCGGTGTAATAAATGACTAGTTTTTATTTATTACTCAGCGACTGGAAACCTCAGCACATGGGCCAAGCTAAATTAATTGTCAACTCGGTCACTGATTTGCCAATGCACAGGAAAATGATGCCTAAATACACTGTTTGTATATATTTGAAATCTTGGCAAAGCAAGAGATGTCACTTATCTTCAGGTTGTCAGCCCCTTGTAAAAATCACCTCTCATCCAGCACTTCCATCAACCCCTTAGAAAGGTACCTGTCGTTGTTCTATATGGTGGTTCTGTACCAGCTGAATGATAACTCAAATGTCTTGAAGAAAGAATCACCTCTCTCAATTCCTCTGAAGTTCGAAGAAAAGCTTGGAGACTGCACAGCCAGTGTTAACTATTACACTTAGAGTAACCACACTAACAGGTGATACTACTTGTTAATTAACTCTGTACTTAAAAGACTATGGGTTTAAATCCTTCAGACTTGGAAGAGCATTCCATAAAGTGCTCTGTGAGGATATTAGGTAGCTACACATACTTATTGACATAGTGCATTCTGTATTGTTTCAGTAAAGCTTTATGTTCTTAAATTACTGCTGCTAGACTTTACTTCTTTAGGACACATGCATTTTGAATGTCTTCGATCTTACATAATCTTTTAACTATTCAGCTGGACCTTATAAACAAAATCTCCTTTAATTCTGTGCTCCTCCATTTCAATTCTGTTATAACACCTGTTTTCTCCACGCAATACAAGGTTTGGTGAATTTAAACAAGTACAAGCCAAACATTATATATAAATATTTAAATATTTATGCACACAGATATACACACAACAAGACAATATTTGCCGTTATATTCTGAGCCTTTTAAAAGGACAGAACACTTAAGTATGGAAGTTTTAAAAAAAAAAAAAAAAAGAAAGGCATAAAAAGCACACATTAAGACATCGGTACTATTAAATCCCCTGACACCACTACAAATAAATGTTTACACATGAATCCTAACAAGAAGAGTTGAAAAAGGACTCTGGTTCAGAGACAGGGAGTTAAGAGCTCAAATCGCATCCATTAAGGCTCCTTATTTAAATTTCACTTTGGGTGTACGCGAGAGACAAAACAATGTCTTGTCAAACTGCCACTCCACGTAAGGTCTACCAGGGACGCGCTCCGCTGTGAGCACACGCTGGTACATTGTCTCAGCGCTGGATGTGATACATGCCAGCAATCTCTGCCTCCACAGCCAGGAATTTATTATTAAGAGCAATTCCCAAACAGCTCAATCGCAGGGCTGTACGTGAAACACCAAAGCGCGTCTACGTTTATTACCTTTGCCAACAACAAAATATTACCGTCCCTTAGTGCTTCCTGCAAATCTGCAGCAATGATGCAGATTTTTTTTCTTTAATTCCCTTTCGGAATACAAATGCCTGCCTTCTCCTATTGCTGCCCTTTCCTAACCGAGACGCGCTGTGGACAATAGTTTCTGAATCAGCGATACCTTCCCACACTGTTGGCAAACACTGAAAAAATAAATAACAACATCGTACTTCAAGCCCGGAAGAAAAGGGGGAAAGAAAAAATAAATAAATTAAGGAAAAGAAGCAGCTTAAAGAGCAAAGGCAAAATTAAACCACCGTGAAAATATCAGAAATACCAGCGATGAAGGATGAGAATTAACAGGCAGAAAAGCAGCAGCAGCAGCACTTATTGCAGAGGCACAGAGAGAATCCTCCTTCCCTGGAACTCATGCAACTAATGACCTCTCCAAGTGCTGAATTCCAGCTCCGGCACACGGACCGCGCAGTGCCCGGGTGTGACACACACACACACACACACACACACATCCCGCATCCCAACTTGTCAACTCCGCTAACGCAATTACAGCACGGGGGGGACGCGGGAGGCAGGAGCGCCACAGACCCGAGAGCGCTGCGGCTCCGGGCGCCGCTGCCGAGCGCGGAGCGGAGCGGAGAGCCCCGAGCATGTCGGCAAGTACCGAGTGAAGAGCATTTACCAGCAGCGGCGGCGGCGGCGGCAGCAGCAGGTTGAGCAGCCCGAGCGCCTCTCGCCGTTCTCTGGGCGACAACTTCGCACCGGTGCGGATTCCTCCAGTGAGGAGGGGAGGGACGCCCCCCTTCCCTGTCGCTCTGCCCTGCTCTCCTCTCCCTTCCCTTCCTTTCCTTTCCCGTCCCGTCCCTCCCGCAGGAGCGGAGCGGAGCGGCGGGAACAGCCGCAGCCTCGCGCCGCCCCCGGGGGAGCGCGGGAGCGGAGGGAGCGCGCGGGGAGGCGGGAGCGCGCAGCGGGAGCGCGCCCCGCTCAGCCGCGCTCCGGGCGCGGCCCCGCCGCTCCTGCCCCCCCCTCCTTCCACCGGCAAAGGGGACCGGGAGCGCGCGCCGCCGCCAACCCCCCGCCCGCGGGAACGCGCGCGCGGCCGGGAGCGCGCCGGGAGGCAGCGGCGGAGCGGGGATGCGAACAGGGATGAGGAGACGGGAGCGGGGATGGCACCGGCGGCGGCGATGGCACCGCCGCTCGTGTGTGCCCTCGCTGCCTTGACCGCCCCTGCCCCGGCCCGAGCGCTGCCGCAGCGCCGCGGGAGGCGGGGACGCGCCCGGTCCCCGCCGGGATGCCCATCCCCGGACCTCCCTCCCACCGCCCGCCGGGGCCCGAGGGGGCAGCGACGGCAGAAAAGCTGTTAAATATACCGCTGCCATCCTTTGGCCACGAGTTAGAACCCTTTCAGCAAACTGCTGTCAGTTCTGCAGGATGGAATTACTTTAGCTATAATCTTGGGAGCTGACCACGGGCGAGCCCCAGACATCACGTTCTATATAGCGTTACTTCCAAATTCTGCGCAGAATACTTGTCTTTTCTCTGAAATAATTCACTGTCGACTGTTACTGAACCTTTGATTCCCCCCCACACACACACACCACACCACTGCTGCACATCTGCAAGACCACCAAAAGCAGGAGCACTAAAGTAGATCAGGAAACAAGAGGATGCCGAACTGCCAGGCACAAGCTGATGCCAACCCATAAAACTTAGTACGTATTCCTGGCAAGGCCAAAGGGAAAGCAGCAACTGGAGTTAACCAGGAATCACAGAAACAGCAGTGAAAAGAAGCCTTGGACACGGGTAATGCACGGCAGCAGGGCCGACAATGCCACTTAACAACTTCATGTCCATATTCCATAAAATAGAAAATCTCTGCAGGGAAAGGGAGTAAATTGGAGCGCACTGGATTAGCTGTAGCTGGGGAAAGTGTACTGTGAATGTCTGATTAGAGAGAAACTACAGCAGAGTTAATTTTCCAACTGCAACTGTAGTTTTTTAACTGTCAACAAAGAGCAGGAGTTTTAAGGGGCAATCCAGGAAGCAGCAGGGAAGCATCTCTCAGCTTTTCAAGGTTAATTGAGAAAAGGGGAGAGTCGAGTATACTGGTAGGACTCGGGAAATTACATGCAATGGTGCCGCTTGAGGACTGCATCTATTCACAGGAGTGAAGAAGATTCAGAGCCACAGCTTCTCCCTGGCCTCATCTTTTTCCATGGCATTTCACAGATTTCAAGATGTGTCCTTGTCTTTAACTCTGTGGTCAAGATTTTAATGTACTCTGCATGGCAGTGTCTTGATTCTGCAGAGAGACTTGTGTACAGACATACTGCAACAGTCATTTTACTGGAAATAATATCTCTGAAAATAAACTAGATGGCAAAAAGGAATGCTAGAGATGTATTAAAAAGACTTGCAGTTAAGTAATGAGTTGTCCCTATCAAGAGGAAAGACAGAATTAAACATTTTGATAAATGTAAGTTTGAGTGAAAAAGGTAATGGAATGTCTGCAATAGCCGTCCATAAAGCATGTGACTTGATGCTCATGATGATTAAAGAGAAATTATCAAAAACCAGAATTCATTTGGCTCACACATTCTAAAGGTATTTGTAAAACTTTATCCCACTGGAGTATTTCTAGCAGTGATCTACAGAATATTGCAAAGCTACTTTAACAGCAGTGATTTGAGAGAGAACAAACAAATGGCTGATTAAATGCCATGCAACAAGGATTTGTTGCTGGTCAATTATGATGGATACGGGTTAATGGCACAGACCCGTCCAGGCGCCTTGGTGAGGTGGCCTCATTTGTTCAACAGAGCTGTTGAAGTCAAGGTCAGGCACCCAGCGAAAAAGAACACGGGTGACATTTCAGGCTGGGGGGACTGTTTTCTGGAAGGCAGTTTACAATAAACAGCATTAGTTTGTCCTGGTGAATAACTGAATACATGCTCCCACTGTTATGGGTTAGTGAAGATGACAGCTGGGAGTGGATGGGTGGCAGAGAGAGCATCAGAGCAAAAATAAACACAAGTTACATGTCTAGGCAGTATTAGTAAGACCAATGTGAGAATACTGGTTTTGTGTCCACACGTAGGAATAATGTTAATTATACAAAAACTGGAATAACTGAGAGACAATTAATGCAGGTTTTAGAAGGATAACTGTGTCTTCTGCCTAAAGTGAGAGTGCTAACAGAAGACAGGGAACCATGCTCTCTCTTCCTCTTGTTCTCTGTTTATAATGATCTTGGATTCCTTTAGATGTGGTGATACAGCTTCAACAGAAGACAGGTTTGTTCCCTTCCCTTTAATCTGATGCTTAGGGTAATCTCCTGGGAGTGGGAGACATGCCCCTGAATATGCATGAGGCTGCAGAGAATAAACCAAGCACCTCATTTCTTGGGTCAGATCTCTTTAACTACTGGATTAGTAGGTAAATGGTGACCACTGGCTACACCTCCTCTCTCACGTTTTAAATACATCAGCTCTGTTTAGTTCTTTAGAGGAAAGAATGTAAGTGCCTCCAAGAACAAGTACCAAGCAGTGAATCTCAAGTGAATATAAGAGTATTCCTTCAGATTTTAGCAAAGTGCCTGAGGAATGGGACTGCAGCCGGATCCCTGCCCCTGTTGGCTCCCTCAGTCACTGCTCCATGCCAGGCAGGGCTGTGATGCGCTGCCCACAGCCTGCATCAGTTATCAGCTTCAGTCCCTCACATCTTTGGGGCTTCTCTCAGAATCACCTTGTCACTCACAGAACCTGCTGACACGAGAGCATCTTGTGCCCTTTCAGAAGGGCCACGGCTCTATCTTCTCACACTTCTTTGAAAAAGTGACCTTCAGTGTGATTTAAAAGGAAAGAAGAAAGGAGACAACAAGAAAGATTAGCAGTTTAGTGGTGGGAACTGCTGGGTGCTTGTCCCCTTGCCTTTTAAGCACGTCTGAACTTTCTGACCTGGAACTGCTGATTTTTCAGTGTGTCCCTATATATCATTATTCCTCTATTCACATGTAGCTGCTCCACCACACACATTGCTACAACTTGAATAAAACAGGTGTAATTAAAGAGTTTCTGGGAGCTGATGCCATGTAAATGCTTTGCACAACCAAGGTGAAATTTTAGTACTGCAGCTTATTAACGACAGGAACATTTTACCTATGTGATGTGCATTCTGGTGTTGCTTGCACTCTAAATAGAAATGAAAATCTTTCTGAAAGTTCTGTTGCACCTCAAATGAAAGTTATGGGATTGTTGGAGGGGTTCCTTGGGTGAAGCTCAGGTGCAGTTCACTGGCTGGCATCACACAAGGGGTCCATCCCAGGTGATAGCTGCAATTTTTTCAAACCCTGTAAATTAGAATTTGTGAAATGCAATGATCCACCGTAACAACATAGGACTCTTTAGAATAAAGAGAGAGCTTATCCTCCTGAACAATGCCTCTCAAATGCTTTAACATGTTGTAAAGAGGATTATTTTAATTAACTGGTACAACTTCCTACATTTATCATATATACTGGAATATCATTAGTTGCACCTGATTCAGATGTCCAATTTTCATTCTTAATCCTATGCCTGCAATTGCATAGTAAGAAATACATTCTCTGAACAGTAGTCTGAATAAGAAAAAAGTAGAAAAAAAAGAATGCACATGGGAATATCTATCTGTTCCAAGGAAGTAACCAATGGTGGTGTGGGAGAAGGAGCTTGATGTCATGCAGTGAGCTACCAACAGAGGAGGAATGGCATGATGTAGAATTTTAACACAGAATTTTAACTAGAATAACCATCTTTGGTAATTTAGTAAATGTGTTGTTTGTTTGATACTACAATAAGAGAGTTTGTGTCACCTCTTAAATATTGCCAGGAGCTGTGTGTAATTTGTCAAACAACAAGAAAAGAAAGGTGTTCAAATTGTATTAGTATTTACAGATAGTTTCCAGTCTCTTTAGCCTTTTTCTTTTTTTTTTTTTTTTTTCCCCTTCTCTTCTAGAACCAGCCCATCCACCTTGCAAGAATTATAGCCTGTCTTTGAGATGGCTCAAATGGAAGCACTGAGCAGGTAGAAAGCCACTTGGTATATGCTTGAACAGCTCTGAACAATTCAGTGTCATCAACAAGTTTGCAGTTCTGGAAGAAAAAGAGGAGGGGGAAAATAAAACAAAAAAAGATGGAAAGTCCTTGTAGGTAATACCTGCTCAGTGGAAAATAGAGAAAAAGTGAAGACTTTTACAGGCACAGAACACTGTTGTACTTCAGAGGAATTGCTGCTTGTCAATGAGCGTGTTCAGTATGCACAGCCATCCCTGATGGAACCCCATCCCCATGCAGAACTCCTCAGAATTCCACCCGTGTGGCCTGGTGTGTGCCTGCAGTGCGCTCTGCACGCAGCAGGCTCTGCACTTACATACCTAACCCCCTTTTCCCCTGTAGTGCCTCTGCTGGCCACAGATATTTCAAAGGAATTCTGAGGAATAGGGCTCCTAACCAGCTGCTGACTTGGGCCAATGCCATCTGTAAGCAAATGATGAGCCTCTGCTCATCTGACTGATCAAGAGAAGAATTCACTGGGCACTGAGAAGAATTCTTGTGTTTAAATTGTCCAGCTCTCATGACACATCACCTTATTAGTATTAAAATTAGGTGTCGCTGTTGAAGAGCTGGTGGGATGCACTGTTTCCACAGGAGTTACTGTGCTAACACACACATGGATATCAGGGCAGTTCTTACTCTGTGAATCACGACCCAGGTCTTTCACCTTCCTTTGGCCCACCCAGTTACTGGAGTCCTACTGATTTCTGATACACTTTTTGGATTCCAGTTCCCCCATACTGAAATCTGTACTGTCACTACTGTTGTAAGATAAATGGAAAATACAGTTGTTAACTAGTCCTTAGCTCGATTTTGCAAACTCCTGACTGTTACTGAGAGTAGTTGCAAATTATTGCAATGTTTATTCTCTCAACCATTTAAACGACTGGCACGGCAGAGGATGAACAGTTTCACTTGTCCTCCCGCTGTAATTACTGAGAGGTTGTAGCCATCACGTTAAAGGAAAACTATTTGCTTTATGTAGTTGTTCATATATGGAAATGCCTTTGGTTTTTTGGAGTGGGAGAAAATACTCCAAGGTGATTATGAGGAGTATTCTGGACAGTAATAACAAGTTCACTGACGAAGTGAACAAAGGATAAAGTCAACATTTATTTCTGATGCCAGAAGTGGTTTTTCTCAGCTCTGTATGAAGTGGTTTTGGTGTGAATGAGTTACACCACAGATACACACTCTGCTCAAGAGTGAATGGGGCTGAGTTTGGGTAAATGGCACCACACACAGACGGTTCTAGTACCTAGTCTGGGTAAAAGGTCATTTGAATTGTTTTAGCTGCAATAAGTGGTAGAATAACATATCTGGGAAAATAAAGAGAAAAGGAAACTAGCAGGGTATAAAGGATGCAGTAGCTATTTTGCATAATACTGAAATCAGTCAGTCCAAGTTTTGAAGTCTGACTCAAAAGCATGTTAAGTTTGCAGTCTGCTTCAGCAATAAGGGTGTAAACAGGTACAGACAAATCACCTGCTGCAGGGTGCATGGAAAAATGCAAAGAATGATTGGGGAAACAAGGATGAGAACAAAAAAAACCCCATAAAAACAGAAGAGTCCAATATATAAAACAGGGCATGCAGTTCATGACAGTTTACCTTCTAAGTGATAAACTTGTATCCCCGTATGAAATGCCAACGCAAACTTCACCAGCAGTGTTTGTTGCTTTTAAATAAGACCATTCTGGAGACCGAGGGAGGAGGGGGGGGGGAAAGCTGAATTTGTTACCTAAAAATACTTTTCCAGATCAATGGATCCTTTTAACTTCCATGGGCTCACTTGTGAATGTAAAATATAACAGAACAATATTTTTCCTTTTCTTAATATAGAATTATCAAGAGAATAAGAAATATTAAATAATAAGAAAACAAGATAAAACTCTCAAGATCTGGATCACTTTTTTTCCAACAGGTAGCATAATTTCTTTGCTATTGCACAGCATTTTTAATAAAATAATGAAATACTAGAGATGGGTCTTAAGTAAGCTATTATTTAATTTTATTTTTGCTTTGTTCAACCGTAATTTACCCCATCCTTCATGACTAATTTTTATGTTCTGTGCCTTCCTATACACTGTTTTCTTTTGATGCAAAGTATTTCCTTGAGAAGAAGTTCCATGCAAGCACACGAAAGTACTCACTTGCTTAATTTATCTTCTGACAAAATCCAACAACTCCATTCAGGATCAGGGCCCTATTTTGCTACTGCCAAAAGAGGATGACACAGTCCTCTCCCTGTGAAGGTCATGGTTTAAGTGCCTGGTTTCCTGAATGCTGTATGAAAGAAGGATGATGAACTTCGCTGTTATCAGCTACTTTGTGTGAAGAAAGGTGCAAGATAAAGAGGAACTTTTCATGCCTGATCTCCTTTCATTATCTGTTGTGTTAAACTGCACCGAGCAGTCCCCGAGAAGCCCAATATTTAATGCATTGGCTATAACAGCACCGGGCCATAGATTCATAAAGTGATACGGCACACACAGTTTACTTGCTGTAAATATGTATAATGCAAAGAAACGGGTCCATTCATCACTCCTACTGGTTAGAACTCCTGCAGTGCACAAAGAAAGGGAGGCATCTGTAGGAGAACGGGAAGTTTGAGCAGGAATTACGTTTTCAGGGGTGTGTCATCTACAATGTCTGTTTTAAGGTTACAAAAATAATGTGTCATAGCAATCACTAATGAAATGATTGGATGCCTAAACACATTTTATCAAACTGTAGATAAATAGGAAAGAATGAAACAAAGCATAGTAACTGCAAGGTTTGCTTTGTCTAGATGTTGTATAAAGTTGAAAGTGCTGAAAAAGGAAAGAGAATTCAAGCAACCCAAGGAACAATGTGAATGTTTACTCAACTAGATTGGTTTAATGGGTGTTTTCTTTTGTGTTGTTCTCTTACTTACATATATATAAAATTTTTAAAAATATGTCATGTTTGATATATAAAATCTGCCAAATTAGTGACATACAACTTCCTTATAGTTTTACTCTCACTTCATTGTCATTTTTCTGTATTTTCAAACAATTGTTTAGTTTGCCATGCTCATTAAAACATCATTTCTTTGCATCTAAAGGAACTTGTAAATGCGGGTTAACACACTATGACACTAAGGCTTATTAAGCAAGTTATTTTATTCTTCCTATTCTCTTCCAAAGACATGTACGCATACTTAAGTTATTTAAAATAATTGTCTGGGTGCTCTCACATTATTCAGTGTAAAATAGGAGAGTGGCAGAACTTTCACACTGATACACATTTGCAGAAATGACATTTGTGAAACCGTATTTATATGTTCTCTGCATTCTCCTGCCCTATTAGTGTTAGCAAGGTGTGAGGGATCCTTTGTACTATTCATGTCATAAGCTATTCCCAGGCTAATTTCTGATCTCGGGGGGAAAAAAAAGGGTGTAAGCTGAGACTGTCAGATCCTCAGTGAGAGCACATACATGGGATATAAAGGTACCTCAAAAAGAGAACTGAAAATTCTCTCAGTGTCTCCTCAGGAATGTGAAACTTAGCTTACTTTTACCAAGATTATTTTTTTTTAAATTATAACTTTTGAAATAGTAAACTGAAATAGAAAGTCTGAAATAAAATATATTATATTTAAAAACATGTACAAAATTAAATCTATAAAATCAAATGCTGCCTTTTTTTTTTATTTTTTTTACATTGGTAATAGGATTCTGGAACTGGAATTCACTCATCATTGAGTACATTGTACACCATTTATCACAAGAATGCTGCAGTCTCTCAGGTCTGATGACCTGCTTCACTTACAGAAAGCATAAAAACTGACTTTTCCAGTGTTCCAAAGAAACACGACTCTAAATATAATTAAGAATACATGCCTGCTATGCAAGAAGACACAGTTTGTACTCAGTCACTAACGTGTTTGTATTCAAACTTCAACACGTGCCTAACAATGGGCTGTAAAAACTTGGTGTCTGCCCATGACACCGACTGCTACTCGTGACATAATTAAAGCTCGTCCCTGGCAATTAATCACCTTGACTGCCAACAAACAGTGTATTTATCTTCATTACCTTCCTCTCCACGGGAGGCTTTCCCTTTCTGCCAGGGAGCCAACCCCACGTGCGGGGGATGGAGGTGCCCGGGGATGGAGGTGAGCTCTGCCCCTCCATCCAAGGCCTCGGGGACAAAGGCAGCCCCTTGGAAGGGCTGGGGTGGCACCTGGCAGAGCTTCACAACCGGGAGAAAACCACCCACCAGGGACGGGGGGAGTAAACCAGAGCACACCCATCTGGGCCAGGCATGAAGTGTAACTCCAGCCACAGCAAACCCAAGGCTGTTTAAGATTATGATTTGGTATTTTCGGCTTCCTCATGTGTTTTAATTAAAGCCAAACAGAATTATGGACAGTGCAAATTATTTTTTCTCAAGTGAGAAACAAAAGAGAGGATGCCAGGCTAATTTATTTGCTTTTGTTTGCATCTCTTTTGCCGTGATTATTTTAACAAATGAGTTTACTAGCTGGAATGTTTGGTAAAATAATGAAGCAAATATTGTTAAATATTGTGATTATTCATAGCAGAACCTATAAGTTATGTTTCTTCAATTGGAAAAGAGAAATGTGTTCTACGACCTACGTACCCATTCAAAAAGAGCTTGAATATTCAGAAAGCTCTGCTTATGAATGAATTACAGACAAAAAAATTATGCATAGATATTATTCAGCAAACAGTTTGAACATATACATCAGAAAAACTAGTTTGTTTGGAAAACTTGCAAACACATAATGGAGCAAAGAAATTATTCATTATGAATTATTTGCACAGCATCTGTCTTACTTTCTCATGTTAATTGCCTCTGCTAAACCACATTTTCACCCCCTCAGTATGTAAATTTAAATGATTTTGCATATTTTCTGAATACCCAGCAAATGCATGTTTCATTACCTTGCTGCTTACATTTTTTGTCACTCTAATTGCACTGGAGTTTATATAATTTTAAAAATTTGACCTACCAGCTTCCTGTAGATTGCAACCTCTTCCTCTGGATTCTGAATATTACCTAAAAAAAA